TGGCTTTAGTGTTGATTTTTTTGCGATTATTAGTTTGTATCGAGGGTGTCCTGGGAATTGATATTTGGCATATAAAAACTTCACTACTTTTAATCGTCATACAGATTCGGAATACTAAGTAGCACTCAACCCACTATTGAGACACAAAAGACAATCAAACTGGTTATCAATATTTCTGTCACGACAGCAAAAGGAGAAATATATAGTAACAGGTATTGGTCAGTGCTAGATCGATAAGGATTATCATCATGTATCTCTAACAACATAACTAATTCCCAACTATCCTGCTTCAGAGTTGCTGCAACTCTCACTGAATTAATTTTCTTCAGATACGGCAAAGATATGAGCGTCAAACGAGTAGAATTCCCATATTACTAATCAGTGACACAGTAACGATAAGATAACTACTTTGAAATAGAGTTATGAGGAAGCACTTAGATTGAATGCAAATGACATCCAATTAAAACTATATATGGTTGTGAATATGTGTGCACACATTTTTTAAATATACAACATCAGCTGCATGTTAACGTACTACCAAGATACTGAATGGGATTTTATTTTGGAAAACTCGAACACCAGAAGGACCTTATTACTCGATCTAACAGTGAGTGGTAAATTCTTAGATTGTGATGTTTTGTAGATGAGTTTTATGTATAAACGCCTGCCTATCAGATTTCTTCCTCTATTCATTTGATATTCATTTAATTACATTGTCGAAGAAATTGCAAGCGACCAATCTGTCGCCCTGTTTCTTATTACCGTATCTTAATTTCATAAACCTATGTGCGACGTTCCATGCTGATCGATATTTTTGCCAGTACTTTCAGCACAAAGTGCATTGTAATGTTTTGCAAATATGACTCACGAAATGCCGAGGGTCGGAATAATTTACATTACTGTCAAGAAATTCTCGAGATTTCATCTTAGGACTTCAAGTATAAGTAAAAATTGAGGAAAATTTCAATTGTATTTCATGCATCTGAATGGCTACTTAGTGGATAGTACTTAAAATACTGTTGTTTTTATTATCTCAGCCTTTCAATGATCGCCAGAAATAATTTGTGCATTATGATTTATTTGTAAACGTGAGAACATACCATTTTATGAATAACATTACTATGACACTGTGTTCTGAGTGACAGCTCAAGAAGTTAGAAAATCGTAGTTCCAAATATAATGTATCTAGAAAGGAAGAGACTACAGAATTTTAAATCAGGATTGTCATTCAGTATTTAGTAAAAATGCTTGTCGAATATGATCTTATCAAAATATGTCACCTAGATTCTACGTTTGATTAACACTTGGTATTGAATATGTTTGTAGATCTGTATAAATATTTTAAACGTTCTCATAATACTAACACGTTATTTTATATGGTTTTTTATTTCGAATAACTCGGAACTTTAAAATACTACAATTCACTATCAAGATTTGCGATGGATTGGTTCTCATACAAAATACCTGTGTATACAAAGATATACAAATGGTAGTATGTTTTATCTTTCTGCCAAATGAAATATAACATCATTCTTATTAGAAAAATTTGTGATATACCAAACGTGTTCGGTTCGAGTCTCAGGAGCAAACTAATAGATGAGCATTGTTAATGAGCTCCATACCATTACGAAACGTTCACTAAATATTTTCTAGTTTTCTTAGTATTCCATAAAATGTCTTTCAGGCATAATATGTGTCATTAGCACCGTTTCTGTTCAAGACATAGTTACTAAGATTTCGTTTGTGTGTGGTTTATGACCTATAAAGTTGGATAGAGCTCAGTTTATTATCTTTGCAAAATTTAAGTGAAAGGATGTAATGGCGAACACGTGAGTATGTAAATCATAGTTGTCCCGAGTCATTATTAGTTCTTATAGTACGACAAAAAATGAAATTGAAAAAGGGCAAATAATTGTGTATGGCACAAATTCAGTTGTATCTAATAAATGAAATCTGAAGGCCTAAGACAGGTTTGGAGTAGTTTTACGAAAACATAAATCTGAATGAAGTTTGTGACTAGTTTCGACTAAATACGTTATAACAAATAGTCTTATTTTTCTCTTCTATCATTTGGTCAACCATAATAACTGTGAAATATCTCTAAATATTTCATTGGTCACACATTATTGCTTTCTTTAAAATAGTTACTATTGTATCTATAAAGATTACGACTATTGATTTATCAAGTTTAATAATAATAAGCAAGTTCCAATTTACCCATCTTCTCCAATATGACTTTATATATATATTTAACGTTAATCTACTTCATTAGACTTCAATCTTACAAAATTCTAGTCCATATAATCTACGTTTATGGTTTACTTTCACTTTTAAATGTCACGTCTTCTTTACTATTACTTTTAGGCATTATATTATAATACAATTAGTTCAGTTATGTTGCTTCATTCCTATTTTCATTGACTGTTTCTGTACATTATACTATGAACTACTCTCTGAAACTCAGTAACTTACAACCTAATCAATCGTTTTCTAATGTGCAACAAAACACCTCTTGGTTGTAATGTGTAATGTTTATAGGAATACGCCTTAATTTCTGATGTATAATCTATCTTACATTTGTAACTGTGATTTGTTACTGTCCGTAGTAATTTTTTCTTGATAGTTTAATCGGTTTTCCTTTTGTTGTCTCACGGTTTGTTATTCCATACTACTAACAATTTTGAGACTATTACATATTGTTTCTTAACCAATCCTACATTTTTAAATATTCTTCTTATATGTAGTTCTCCATTCATGGTGTCACGTAAGTTTAAAAAGATAATAAATATCACATGAATCGAGGTTTGTAAACAATGTTGTTTACACTGTCCTTGACATTTGACACCGATATTGTGCGTAACTCGATTGCTCAATCGGACTCTCGACAGATTCAGTAGTACTAGATGTTAGTATAAGCGCATTGTTATTGCGTGAGGCTGTAGAATACAGTAAAAGAGATGCTAGTTTATAAACTAAGGCATTGGAAAACAAAAAATCGTGATATGATTCAACGTGTAACACCGTTCATAAATGTATGTTGAATGAAGATGATGAACATTATATAGAGAAAACTAAATGGCTGGATATTGAAATTTTTTATCGTCATTTCCTCTTTAGGAAAAATGTTTCTAAGATTTTTAATGAACGCGCATTTTTTATTCGACAGGACGTTTTGAAGACAGTGTTGCTATGAGGTTGTACAAAACAGAAAATAGTCCAGAAATATATCAGCATACAAAGTGATGTGATTATATGCATTATAAACAATATAACATTAATAACATTATAAACAACTCAGGATGATAAAATACTTTCAAACTATATTGATATCATGTCTGAAGTTACATCAATGTTCACACTTACAATGTGAAATAACTACCATTTTTTGTAAATATTTGTCCCTTTTCATCTTAATAAAAATCCTATTTATACTAATGCTAAATTTTCTAATAAAATAAAAAAATTTAATTATCAGTATGGGGGTTGTGGAGATTGTTAAGTTTTTGGTTGAGATCATGAATTAATTGATGTTAGACCACCGTTGGAAACCTGGAAGCACTGGACGGCCGTTTCGTCCTAGTATGGGACTCCTCAGCGGTGCGCACCCACGATCCCGCACGCCGCGGGATTCGAACCCAGGACCTACTGGCTTCACGCCTGAGCACTTAACCATTAGACCACTGACTCATCATTTCAGCTATTGAAATTTCTAAAAGTCCGCACAAAACCTCTTCTGATAATAATCATCTGCTCACTAGTGACTGACTTCAAGAGGTATTTCCTGGAGTTCTAGTGAGAAGCCGTCACTAGTGGAGTTTAGCCAGGCCTGTTGTAGGATATAAGATCACTGAAGACAATGGTGACGGTGGCGCTATTTCATGGATTGGTTGAAGTTAGACGGTGACACCGTTGGATGCCGGCTCAGTGGTCTAATGCTTAGGCGCTCCCGCGCGAGACTGATAGGTCATGGGTTCGAAACTCGCGAGAGCAGGATCGTGGATGCTCACAGCTGAGGAGTCCCACAATAGGACGAAACGGCCGTCCAGTGCCTCCAGGTTTTCCATGATGGTCCAGCCTCAACTTACTCATGATTTCAACTGTTGAAATATATAATGTGTTCTATGAGATAAATTCAATGTATTCTCCTATTGTGTATGCAAATATAATCCAGCCACCTTAGAATATCTGAACTTTTCGCGGTTTTAATTATCACAATAGATTATTAAAGTTCTATGACTGTAAGAGGTATGTCATGCAGTTAATACTCATTATTGATTCATTGAAATAAAAGTAATTTATTTCATTACTGATTGTTGAGAAGTGGTTAACTAGAATGTTTTGGATTTAATAACAAAATTGTTCATTGATCTTCAATGCTTCACTGGTTTACTAATTAGTGAAGATGAGAGGCTAAGAAATTACTATGAACACTGAGAAAGTTTTAAAAGACAAAGTTTTCATGCGGTTTTACTCGGGTTTCAATTTCTCATTACTTATTTTCACAAATCAGATCTGCTGTAACTAGATGAAACACAAAAATGTAGTTGGAGTTTGTTGTGAAACATTTTCATAATACAAAATAAACTAACACACATAGAGAACCACTCAGTATGAGCATGCAATTGCATCACATGAAATATTATCTACATTTATATCGAAGAAGAATGTTTCATTAAATTTACCGAAACATAACTAAATAACAGAGTGATTTAATAGTTGTTATTCCTTAAATATCAAAAGAAGTAACGAAAATAGTTATCGTTACTTCAACATACAATCTAGGTATATATATATAAGTAAGAAGATGAGTGTGAAGGGGTTTTATGAGGAATTTCTGTAATATTTTAATATTCCAAGTAGCAATCATTATAAAAACATTAACCCATATGCTTTTTTATGAAAAAGTAGCATGTTTTCATGACTTCTCTCATCTTTTCCCTACTCCAATATGTAGTTAAAATTAAGGAATTACCCATGACTTTGATAATTGCTATTTCTTTATGATGAATTTTCAGGAGATATCAATTACACAAGGACTTCATGTGAGTGAATTCAATGAAATTATTTCAATGAAAGAACTGAAATCCATTTGTCCTCAGGTAAATTTTATTTCAAAACTTTCCTGAACAACATCATTAATATCGTAATACAGTTTAAGTGAGATTAACAATTACCCACATGTGTTATGAGATAGATACTTATTTTCATTGACTACGTCATAAACTGACTATATCTAGAAATCCTTAACATGGTGAACAGCTCTTTTAACTGAGAATCGGCCACAGCAATACACGTCTACGGCACCTTGACGGTAAAATGCAGATCTCACTGCAAGTATTTATTCTTTAGCCTAATGAACCACTAAATTTGGATTGAACAGATATCCTATACTATAAGGAAACAGCTTTTCAGAACCACATGATTTTTCGATTGTTATATAACTGAGATTATTTGGAAATTTAATCTACGAAATCTAACAGTGGTGAAACGTTGTTTATTTCCAAAACATCCAAATAATGAGTAGAGATCATAAACAGAAATTCACTTGCATCATACTTATTCGTCAAAACTCTTTTACTTCGAGTCACTTTGGAATCATTGTTACATTTCCTTTCGTAAATATATATATATGTCACCTTCATTTTATTTTAATTTACATGTATAGATCAATTGGAGTTATTTATTGAAAGAATTACTGAAACAAACTGGATATGAAAAATCCAAGCAGCCATCAATCATTGTAGAAGGACGATATCAGCTTAAACATCGTTGTGAATTATATGGTGATGTAATGAAAACAGAAAAAGATAAAAGGTGAAACGTACTTCATTTTCTTTATGGCTAACAACAAATATAACAGTTTAACTTTAAGTATATTGAAAAGGAATACCAGCATAATCCTGGGTAACTATGTCTGTATCATCATGTGAAAACTGATTATTCTAAGCTGAATTTTTATATTTAAACTAATCGCATTAAAAGCATTGAAGTTATGTTATCAAATACTATGTTGTTAGGTTTACCATAGGAAGAAGTCCATTGACATCTATATAAGGCTTTTGCCAATTATAATCAACGGGTTTCCGTTTACATCGAAGTGACACGTTGATATGATACATGTAGTGAATATTATGTACTAAAAACTGTTTATCAGTCATTCTGAATACCTTCGATGTACATCTTTTAACTAAGCAGAGCACAAAAATTTCCAAAATTTATTTAAGTAAACAAACTGGCCACTGTTTGTTTTATTTGAGTACAGCTACTAAAAAGAGTTGTCGATTTCACATTAGATTACCATTAGGAAGAATGTCAACGATCAACTTGTGTGCTTTTTCAATTGATCCTGAGAACCTTGACAGCTTGGTTACGTCAGCAATATCATGTTGGACAACTTCTTCAGAGACTGGGAATAATAATTTCAGTCTTCATTACACAATGTAAGTGATAACGAAGATTTATATAAACGAAGCCTATGAAACAGATAATATCCGGTTACACTTCGTATCCAGTGTTCTGGGACTTATCACAACCCGAAAATAACACACGTTTACTCAGCTAACGAACATCTACCGAATACAACACTGTTTCGATACATGTTCTGTGGTAGGTTTCCAATATCTAATAAAAGGATTTTAGAAAAATGTTGAAACTCAAATTATTTAATCTATATTTCCCATTGGTATCGTACATGACAAATGTCATTTGACTATTCCATCTGTACTTAGTTATTGATAAGGATCTATAAAGCTGAATTATCAGCCGTATTTTATTTACTGCTCTTACTAAATTATTTGGGTAAAATTCAGTAGGTATATCTATAAGTTGACACTTCATATGCTGGTTTGGCACAAAAATGTTGTAGTTAACCGGCTCCACGCTCTAAAACTACAATGTAGACTTATTGATACTGATCAGTGTAAAATTACAGGGGCGGGGCGGTTCTTATTATTTATTCACAATACTAGTTACATTAAAGCTTTTCTTTAACGTGACGTCTTTTTTTTACAGTGCATTTCGTACAATCATTATTATGGATTTTTTGATGAATCAATTGTTGCAATCCATGACCTTCAGTCCCACTGGAACAGATAATAATTCGTATTCATGTTAGTATAAAATTGATGTGTTTACTTGCTTAGCTCTGAAATTCAATTAACAAACTATTCGGCTTGTATTAAACGACTAAAATTTATGTGATCCGGTGGTTGCCTGAATATACACAAATTCAAATGTATTTTAAGTGGTCTGCCAAATGCTTGACTACATTTTCCGAATACATATACGGTATTTAAAATCATGATTTGATGCAAGCGAAGTTTCTGACGGTAAAAATGGTAGACCTATTTAGGATGGTCACTGTAGTGTGTAGCATTACCATGTGGAGAATAAGTCCATTGTTAAAGATTTATTTCTCAACAATTAATGTATAATTTTTAAATAAGATATACATCTCGAATATTTAATATATTTCTATATTAAAGTTAATTAATTAAGTAATGATCAACTCTCAGACAATATTAACTTTCAAGTAATTATCATACACGTTATTCTAAATTTTATTTTATGGTAACATATTGACTAAAACTTACCATAATATATAAAGATATTTTTGTACACGTAAAGATATTTTGAACGGAAATTCATAAGGATCGGATAAAAGACCACATTATTGGTGAATATTTAATGTCAGAAGGGGTTTTATGGAGAATTTGGTAATTTCAATCGTTGAAATCATGAGTCAGTTGAAGCTAGATCACCATGCAAAACCTGGAAGCCGTGGATGGCTTGTTCGTCTCAACATGGGACTCCCCAGCACTGCACATCCACGATCCCGCCACCCGCGAGATTCGAACACAGGACCCATCAGATATTGACACTGTTGAATGTCGGCTCAGTGGTCTAATGATTAAGCGCACCAGAGCGAGACTTATAGGTCCTGGGTTCGAATCTCTCAGGGGGCAGGCTCGTGGATGCGCACAGCTGAGGAGTCCCATACTGGGACGAAACGGCCGTCCAGTGCTTCCAGGTTTTCCATGGTGGCCTAGCTTCAGTTGACTCATTATTTCAACTATCGGAACATTTAATGATTATGAATGAAATAATTAACATAGGAATTTTGAATCAGATTTTAACCGCGTATCACTTCATAAGTATTACCGTAATAACAAATGCGGTTTATGTAGATCAGCACTGAACAAATTTTCGATGATCATTTCAAATGACGTTTTAATATGCCAAGTGTTGATGCGTTCTATTTGTAGAAAGCCATAAAGGACAGTCGAATTCTTATTTTGGAACACAGTTTTGTCATATGAATAAAGTTAACGTCAAACACCTGATAATCACTGACTGCTAGCATCAATAAATATACTAATAACCAGTATAAAACAGACAAGCCAATAGTTACTAGTCAGAACAAAACTTCCTATCGTATTCTGCCTGCATAATTCAACAGTAGACATATTCATATATGAACAAATCCAGTATACTCTGCAAATCCCATCAACGTAATACATCATCCCTGAACCAATGTACATTTATTCATCACTGTCATTTTCAGTCATATTGATAGAAGTGGAATGACTTGAAATAGTAATTATCTAAAATATACTTTGAAGCACGTAAACAGATTATCGATTAAACAATATATTGAATATATTCTTTCTGCAATTAGTGTTGAAGCAAGTATACGATGATTGAGTATACAAGTATTCATGAACACTAGATCTGTAAACACTGGATTTGTACGATAGAGTATCCTGTGTTTCATGGAGAATATCAAGATCAACTTTGTATTTGCTGACACACTCACTGATTCCGTTCCGTCCTTTCATAAATTCATTTGGTCCTCTCACAACATAACAGTATTTCACTTTATTTTAAATAGCTTCCCAGCCACATTTTGATGAGCAATGTATAAAGGATGCATTTCCATGGACTCTTGAAAGACATTATATCCGTTCGCATGTAAACGTAACACACAAAACAGAGGTTGGTTCATGTCATATTTCACTTATCTGCAATGTTTGAACGGTAGACACGCTTAGCGATAATATGAAATCGTTACATGATGAAATGAGACAATGCAAATAGATTCCTAGTAACAACTAATTCACCGATTGAAGAATTCCTTATATAGTCAAAGGGCTACAATATAATTATTTTTCATTTTAGACATCAATTATATTAAAAGAAATATTTGTAGATATTATTGTGGTCGAATTTGAATAGCTCGTAAATTTGTTTCAAGAGTATGGTTTGAGAATAATCGAAATTAAAATTATTTTATTGGAATACTGTCAGAAACACTTTTGTTCTCAACAGTCGACCATTCATACTCATTTTCACCTGTTACCCCTCGTCGATGAACATAGGCCACTCACCAGTATTCTTCATCCAACTCTGCCTTGACCATCCTTCCAAGTTGTTCCCAGTTGGTATTCATTCTTTTCATGTCTCCTTCCAATTCCCAACGCGGTGCCGTCTTTGGCTTCCCTCTTTTCCATCACACTTCAAGACTCCAAGTAAGCGCTTAATTCGTGATGCAGTTCGGCGATTTCCTTAATTTGTGCCCTATTCACTTCAAAAGTTTTTTAAATTTCTACTCAGACGGAAGTTAGCTTATTCTCTCCGATAGTAGGCTGTTGCTGATACTTTCCGGTTGTTTAATCCTTCTTAAGTTTCAGTCCCATCTTGGCAACCACCGGGTAGATGATGATCTGAAGCTATGTAAGCTCGTCTTCTGGTTCTAACGTCTTCCATTGATCTTATGAATTTTTCCTGATGCAAATATGATCTATCCGGTTCTTCGTGGTGTGGCCTGGTAAGACTAATATAGCTTTGTGTATGCATTTGTGTGGGAATATTGTGCCACTTAGGACCAATTCGATTTGCAAATCACTAACTCTTATGTTTACTTTCCTCTAGTCCATGTCGCCTCATAATATCTTCATAACTGTTGTCGTCCATGACAACTTTGGCATTTAGATCCCTCATAAGAATAGTCGGGTTCTTTCCTGTACACTTCGCTATGGTCGATTGCAGCCTCGAATAGGACTGATATTTTTTATTGTCATTGCTATAATTGGTGGTTGTATAACACTGAATTACATCTATTGTAATTCCCACCTTCTTTGTTTTGAAGGATACCTAGATGATCCCGGATCAATGAAATTACCACACTACATGTTCATTTCGTGCTTCTTTGGACATCACCAAATCAGCTGCTTGAATGTGTGAAGCATTTCCCTCTTCTTGACTGGAGAACAGCGCACCTAAACTTTTCTGTCCAGCTTGTGTCCAGTGGCTTTCACTGATTCCGAGTACTACCAAGTTGTATCTCCTCGTTTCTGTTCTTATATTTTTAGTTCGGTCGGTCTCCTACATTGTCTCGATATTCAATGTACCTTTAAAATTGTTGCTCTGGTTGTTACAAGGTGCATCGACATCATAACTTCCGAAGAATCTCGGCCTTCATCATGAGATGTAATAATTCTTCCTTCAACTTCCAGGGCAGAATTTAAGTGATTTTAATTGTTTATTCTGGTTAGCGCATTTACCAAGGCTATGTTCTACGGTTTGGGGTTACTGGCTCCATGGCTAACCCTTCTCTTTTTTGTGAACTTGAGACAGATTGTAGCCCTAGAAGTGCTACAGGCGGAGTTCAAGAGGTTACCGCGCTTTTCGATTTGAATTACACAAACGTAAATAAATATCGCAAAATAGCACAATTAAGAGCACACTCCACACCAAATGACTTATATTCACACAAAGTGATAATCAGCATATTAACTTAATAAAGGCTCAGCTTA